AAAGTATACGAAACGTTATTGTATTGGGGTGCAAAGTCGCCAAAAAGCCTTTGAATTGTGTCGGACTGTCAGAAAGATCCCTCTCGATCTGAAGATGTTAGGCGTTTTGTATGCAGTCAACTCGATCATATCGACCGATGACGTGGCGCATTTCGAAGTGAATTGGAATGATGGTCTTAGGGTATGGGCACAGCTTTGCCTCGCTCACACGTGCACGTCGCTTCGACGGCTGTGCATGGTATACACAAGCCAGCGACTCGATCCTTTTCGGCCCAGAGAGCTCGCAATACTAGTAGCATCGAGCATTGATTGACTAAAGACGAGCAATAGCGCAGTACGCAGGCTGGCCACACGCAACTTGAACCGTCGGCGCGGATAGGGTTACGAGACAGACAAGGCCGCCGTCACCAGCGCGCCATTGCTGCGACCAGACGGTGACGTCTGGTATGGCAAAGTCCATCCAAGCCACGGCCGTCTGCCTCATCGCGACTCAGCAGGCCGCCATCAACGACCTCCTTCGCCTCATTTCGGTGCTGTCGACGTCATGGTCAACCTCGGCACCGATACTTCGACCGACGTCAATGACTGCCCGCCTCGCAGAATGTCGACGACGTTGGCGACATTCACCAACAAAGCAACGCTCGAGCCCGTGCGCACTCAGTTGCCGCTTTGCTGCTGTGTATCAGGCGCCGTCGATGAAGACTACTGCGCGGTTTGACAGGCCAGGCGCGCTTCCGAATGGCGCCGAGTGCCCACTTGCCGCATGGCTCGTGAAGCTCGAGAACGGCGCTACGCGTAGCCGGCATGCTCTCGTTCGTACTCGTTAAGATGGTCGACAACGACCCCGTCGTCAAACAAAGTAGTAGCGCTTTCCAAAGCCGGCTCCGTCGACGTCCGTGAGCTTGAGAAGGTCGATCATGTGCGAGTTAGTTCGCCCTACATCGTAATGAAGTCCGTCCATCTAAATACCTTGATAGTAGGATCCGGCCCGAGACGCCGAGAGAACGTCGACGTCGCCGGCGTCACCGCTTGCGCCCGCTGCAGCAAGGTCGCCAGCTCGGCCATGCCTGCGCTACCTGGTTAGCGCCATGGATGTCATTACCGTGGACGTACTGTCCGTGCCATGCGCGTCAGGCGCGACGTCGTACACGACGTTCCCCGTTGGGTCGTCGAGGTGGCATATGGGCATGGTATTTTTGGCAGATGTGCAAAGACCCGCGGTTATGCCGAATCCTATCAAACGGTTTCCGTCTTGACGACTTCAACACCATGATCTCTCGTTCGTTCCCACTGGTCTAATGCGACGCGTCTGCAGGTGATCCCGTCTCGACAGGTACCAACGTTGAAGCCGTCATCGACTGGCAGCGCCGACGAGGATGCTCTTGGCCTTTAGCGATGAGCATGGTCCCGAGCCGGGGTCCTGCGCTCGTGAGCTCGACACCCTGGGTCGTGGTCGCCATGCTGGTGGTCCGCGGAGCGTCCATGACCGTTGGTTCATCGTCCACAGAGCGCGCGGGCAGCATGCAGTAGTCGGTGCTTCGTGGGCGCATGCGGCGCTGCAGAGCGTCGAGTGACGGCTGTGGATGCTGCAGAAGCGTTCAAGGTCGATGGTCCGTGAGCGACAGGCCATGTCGGCGCCTCGATGCTTGTCGATATCGCAAGGACATGGCAGCAACGAGCGTCTTAGAATGAGCCATTCATCTCCGGAGCACAGGAGGAAGGTGAGCGCGGAAGTGCCAAGCAGATCGCTCCGATACTTGGCGCGTCATCACGCAAGAAGATACTCGCCAAGGGCACAGGCGAACTTGAACCGCCGCGTGTACCGCACGCTCGTAGGCTGGACACTGTTGGACATCGGGCGACTTGTGACGCTCAAGCGCGCGCGCACCAAGTTCCTTACCGACTTGAAGCTCAGGATTTGTGGGTTGGTGATCATGGTTGATGAATGTGGATGTGCTGGAGACAGCGAAAGCATGGGCCGAATGTTCCAGTAGGCGCCAACGAACCACGATGCGCTAGGTCCTTGGCGCTGCACGACCTTTCAAGCACGGCGAACGAAGTGATGCTAGCTACGCACAGTACAAAGACCTTTGGTTGCTCGACGATGGCGATGCATTGGTCAGCCCAGCCAACTCGACAGCCGCTAATGTAAATGATCGTCCTGCGTGGAAAAACATGAGACAGCAACAACACTATGCCACAGCCATGGCGCGCGGGAGGCCGCAGCTTGCCTGGCTACGCCAGCAGGAGCTTCACGCACCTGATGTTTTGCGATATAGGCTTCGAGAGGTTACCTCTAATAGTGAATAGGCTTGGATCACGGGCGATTCGCACGGCTGCAGAAGACATGACGAGCCCGAGCTCGACGACGACGATCCAAGCGACCACGAGCGCTTGCCGCCTGGACGCCGTTGACGATACCTACTTGGGCACGCGCCAGCTCGGCGCCCGTCGACGTCGACGACTCTGTCGCAAGGCCTCGTTG